CAAATATTTTTGACGAATTTGACACGTAAGCAAAATTATAACTCACCAGTTTGTGACATGTGTTCAATATTGATCGGATGATGACATGTCTAAAAACTTAAAATTAATTAAGAAAAAATGAAACTAAAAATTGAAAACGAAAAAAATAATTGTTAGGCAACTAACCAAATAGTAAAAAAAAAAAATAATCTCAGATAGGTAGGAACAAAATAATTATAATAGTTTAAATAAATTATAAAATAAAATTATGAAAAAAACGGAGAGATTATAAACAATAAAAAATAAAAGGGAGAGAGCAAATAATTGTTTTAATTAAATATGAATTTGATAAAACAAAAGAAATTTTAGAAATTAAAAACGAAAATTAGAAAGAATATGAAAATCTCAATGTTAAAATTTATATGCACAAATGACAAACATACCAAAGAAAAAAATTACACATACTTACTTTGTAAACATAGTTATAGAATATTAGAAAGAAAATAGAAATCTTCTAACTATACTTTTCAATGTTAAAAAATGAAATTACATGAAATGAAAATTTATACATGTTATAAAACAATAATAATATATTTATTGTTAAGATACAGAAATGTAAAATTTGACGAGTATAGATCTCTATGAAAAATAAACCGATGTCATCAATGATATTTATAATAAGATATATTTGGATCTGCATAATATGAATTAGAACATGAGAATTAAAATATAAATTAACCTTTAATGGTTTAAGACTCTTATTTAAATATTTGAAAATATTTTATAATTTAAGGGGTTACTAATTAAAACTTAAATTTTGATATTAATAAAATTTAATGTGTTTATCCGTGTATTAACGCAGATCTTAATCTAATTTAGAATAAACTACATTTAAGCCAACTTGGTGAACTTTACTTTTGAAAGTTCCAACGTATCAATGGAAATATTTCAAAAGTTCCAAGTGGTAAAATATCCATCCATTCATATAATATATGATATAGATCCTGTAAATATATTATTGTTTATTATCTTCTAAGTATCTAACCCAAATTTTCATAACAAGATTCATTTAACTTCGATTTCCGTAATTTAAGAACTATACACACTTAGAGCAACTCCAATGGGATTCCATAACACCAAATTTGGTGTAGTTTCATCTCCAATGAAACTCCAAATTTTACACCAAATTTTTTTTTTGTGTTTTGTGAACAGTGTCACACCATATTATTTGGTGTGACACTGTTCACAAAACACCAAAAAAAA